ACGATCGCCAAGTTTCATGAAATTCGTCTGTAGGGTTATAGTTCATGGCCATACTGGAAGAGCTAAATGGCTTTTTTGCCTTTTTGTACCGGACACGCTGCACTGAAAACGTACTGTACTTCCGGTCAAGACCTCAGGCCTGCGCTCCCCCTGGACAATTCTCGCGCTCGGTTTGAAGTGATATTATAAACTCACCAGCAACTGGTCCACCGGCGGCTGCAGAAAACGAATATAACACATTGTTGATGCAGAAAGAGGCCGTGGTTCTCTTGCTGTCCACAACCGTCAGTAGAATAAAATTCTGAGTTGTTATGTAAATACCATCGCTCAGCCCATAAATGACACTGAAAACGATAAGGCTCCAATATTTTGTGGTGAACGGTAGCATAAAGGCGGCGAGACCAGCTGTTACCAAGCATGATTGATAAACGTACACTGGATTAACTCTTTTGTTGTTACATAGTCTTCCCGTCATCAAGCGAGCGACACATGAGGCAAGGCCGATAAAAATGAACAGCCGAGAAGCTTTCTGTGCAGAGATTCTAATATCTTCACAGTACTTGACCTAGAAAAAAAAATTACCAATAACCTCTTAAGAAATGTTTTATTTAGGAAAGTATAGAAAAGTAACCTTCAGTACTGAAACGGTGACATTTTTTTCTTGTGCGCTCAATCCAGTGTACGAAATTTTACCCAATAACGGCCATGAAGTTGATTTAACAGCATAGACATTTGTGTGGTGTTTCATTCTCGGTCTCAGAGATTTGGGTTACCCAGTCATGCGCAAAAAAGAAGAGCTCTAGGTTCGGGAACGTATATTACCTTGCTGTTTGTTACATGACACTGAGGAGCCACAAGCTCTGGTGAATTTTTTTCCAAGCAATCATTCTCCTACAGTTTGTTTGCATGCCTATAGATTCTGACCAAAGCACGGAGAAGTGCATGACCGTGGCTTTAAAAAACTTCTATTTAACCTACATTTTACAATTAGATTATTTAACAATTAGAGGAAAACGAATAAAAATCGAAAGCGTGTAACCTAATTGTAAATCTACTAGTCGTTCAAAACTTTATCTAAATTCTCTTCAAAGGCACTTCGAAAACGCAAAGAAGCAGCGGCCACTCTGTCAACAACCGTGCCCTCCTCAGCTACTTGCTGTCTACAACAGAATAGTCAGTGACTAGCGTAGCCAATCAGAGAACGCCATTCGTGACGGAACGCTAATAGATATCTACTAAAGACCCATATACGGAGCATTTGAACCTCTGGGTATTTTACGTGTTATTTCCAACTCGTCCCACCTTGCAATAACAAGGTATTTTAAACATACCAGATTGATGTAAGGAATATACATCCCAAAATTGGCAATCGTGAACGACGTTACAATAACAGTGTAAGCAGGAAAGCTCCACACACTGCAGTAAAGAGAGATGCCTGACTTGTCGTCTCTTTCTTCGTCTTTGTTGTTCCTTTCAATGCTTAAGTTCTCCACTGTTGCTATTTCTTCTACGTATGGATTAAAACTCAGACTCAAAATGCAAACAAGGACGTAAGTTGCTGCCATTATTCTAAAAGTGTTCCTCCATTCAAACGAGTCTAAGAGGACTTGAAGCAAAGGTCCGGTGTAGAGGACCCCTACACCCGCGCCCAATGAAACGATGCCAGTAGCTACAGACAACTTGTCTGTAAAATACTTAGCAATTGCAAGAAAACAAGAATTGCATATGAAGCAAGTTCCTAAACCGTACAAGGCGCTGTACGTGAAGTACATCACTGTGAAGCTCTGGACGAATGATGTCGACACCAGACCCGCAATGCATAGCGTGCCTCCCAAGAAACATGTGATACGCCATCCAAAGCGATCACACAGATAGCCTGCCAGCGGACTTGCAAACCATACCATGCCCAGACCGATTGAGCCGACAAAAGCTGAAAATAAAAACGTTATTCAATCAGTGATAGATATTTTTCACCTTCAATTACTCATCGTTATTTCTTTTCGCGGGATCCTTGGTTTGCGAGAAATTAGGAGCGCTACATTTTGCTTTCTGCCAAATTTTCGCCATTTGGCGAAATTTGCGATGAAGGGAAACGAATTTTTCAACGCTGATCCGCACCGTAACAAACGGTTAGTCTCAGAGTCGATGTTATAAGTCGACAGAACTAGCGGAAAACAAAGCAAAGAAAAGCATAACATATAACAGACTGACATGTTCGGATGGGACGCACTGGACATAGTACAAAGTTGATAATCAGTTCGGCATTTTAGCATGTTCTTCTCTCTACTGTGTTAGGAGAAAAAGAGGTTAATGAAAGGGTTTTACATTAGAGGTTCGATCTCTTGTGATAACGTTTTCCCAGTCTTCGTCGTGATCATTTCGCAATATCGCCAAAATTAAACCCTGCAGAAAGAAGTACCAATGAAACAATAAATTTCGTTGCTTGCAGGGAAAAATAGGTGCCTTAAAAAGTGCTCTGAAGTTCTTTTCCACGCAGTTTGACTTGAAGTTTTTTCGTTGTCCATTTGTTGGCATGAAAATAGTTAGCTTTTTCTTCAGGGCCCCTGTCTTCGAAGGTTTTGGGGACACAAGGGAGGGGAATTCAAATCCCAGTGTTTAGCTTTCATAGTCATTGTAGGAGATAACCGTCAAATTTGGCACTAGTGTTTTCAAACCGAATATTACAGAATCCAAAGCTAAGAATGCAAACTTCAGTTTGTTTTAGCGAAATGACGGTTTGTCTTCAAGGTCTATTTAGTTTTGCGTTGAAATTGTTCTGCCGTCACGTTCCATGGCTTATAGGTCGTTTTCTTTATTGATTTATTTTATTTTAAAATAACTTGAATTCCAATTTTAAACATTTGTGTTCAATAGGCCATTTCCAAATTACAATCATGGCGAAATTTGATTCGATTTCTATGACATGATGTAAAAAACTGTATACTTTATTTGTAGAACTGGTAAATGTTAATGAAAGTATAAATTCGGAACTGTTGGCAATCCAACGTACAAGATGTAAAGTAGCGAAATTCAGTTAAACGAATTGGAAGTTTGAACAATGACCAAACATTGCGATTCAACGCAATGTCAGGCGACAAGGCGACAGTGCCTACGTATTTTTCAACTTTCGAAGATCATTACAGTTGTGTTAATACAGTCATGAGAAGATAATTAAGTATACTGTACTGTAGAGTTCACTTGCATCCCCTCAAAACAAGGTGGATTTTTGAGGAGCAAAGCTCAACACTACTTTTCGAGTAAGTTATCTCATTGTAGTCTAAAATTAATCCCGTCCTCGACTGAACGTATGGCCGTCTAATGTGAACCTCTCAATGTTCTTAGAAGGAAATGATCAGCAGTTTTTCGTTTTTAAATCAGTAGCTTTTAAGCGTTATTCAGAAACAAATGAACAGCACTGATCTCCACTACCGGCACATATGATACACTTGACTGGCGCGCTGCGAAGACTGCCCGCTTGTCGACAACACAGCTACAAGACTAACTCCACTAACCTGTTCTCTCTCTGGTCTCGTCAAAGTAGTCCATCAAAGTCGGGAACAGAACACCAAAGCTAAGTACCATACCAAGATTAACAGCATGGCAAACCGCTGCTGAAACACACACGATCCATGACCATGAACTATCCTTGAAACGTTTTCCAGTAAAGAGCCATGATACTTTCCTAAAGCATTGCGTGGTGTCTTGTTCTTCTAACATTTCAACCAGCTGAGATTTCGACCAACTTATTTTGCTGTAGGCTTCAAAATTGCAATGCTAAAAGATCCTGTCAAGTCAACTATCATATATTTCCCTGGAAATAATTATAAGAAAAGTTAAACTCAGCACGTATAAGTGATGATGATAATTTATTTAAGTTTTCTTTTCTATATTACTGCAGTTGAGTGTCTGCCAAATTATGGACGATAGATCGTACTTGTTTGAAGCTGCAAGCTGTTGATGATGTCATTAGTTTCAAAACAATTCAATTTTATTTCATTTTCTTGTCTTTGCCTATAAATAAAAGAATTGCTTGCCCCCGAAACTAGTTCCAAAACTAATCGAGGTGGGGACAAGAGTTTATCTTATAAGGGAAAGATAGGCTGGTAAACACAAATTATGGCGAACGAGAGTCCCAGCTTTAGCTTATCAGTAAACGAGCCGACATGCCGAGCATCCCTACACTACTCATCCAAAGACGCCTACGGTGGCTCGGTCATGTTTACCGTATGGAACCCGATCGCTTGCCAAGGCAAGTCCTCTACGGGGAACTGTGGGAGGGCGCCCGACGCGTGGGCCGACCTGTCTTCGCTTTAAGGATGTTTGCAAGCGTGACCTGCGACTCGCTGATTTCAATCCCAATACCTGGGAGGTCCTCGCGCAAGACCGCGCCGCCTNGACGCGTGGGCCGACCTCTCCTTCGCTTTAAGGATGTTTGCAAGCGTGACCTGCGACTCGCTGAATTCAATCCCAATACCTGGGAGGTCCTCGCGCAAGTCCGCGCCGCCTGGCGTCACGGTGTGAAGGAGGGGGCACTCAGGGCCGAGACGAAGGCCAGGGCCGAGGCGACAATCAAGCGGGCGGCGAGAAAGGAACGACAAGTATCAGTTCGTGAGGCCACAAACTACATCTGTACCAACTGCAACAAAGACTGCCACTCAAGAATCGGGCTTTTGAGTCACTTAAGAGCCTGTCGACAGTGATGCGCTGACCATCGCCTCTCCGAGACGAGGATGCCATATAATTTTTTGTTTTAGTCCAATGTCATGATTCGAAATCAGCGCAACACTGGTAAGATTAAATCAATGCAAAGCCAGGTGAAGAAAAGCACCAACAAATTATGTTAAAATTCACCTTCATACGTCACATCGATGACTGATGTTTAGCCCGACTAGAATAAGTACTATTAAGGCAGACATGAAATATCTAACTCTTGCCGGGATTTTGGTTAGCGTTTTTAAGATGATCCAAACAGGTATAGTACAACGTCTTATTCTCCTGCTTTAAAAACCTCAATAACAAACATAGTTCTCCGTGCGACACTTTTTAAACAGCGCGTAATCGCGGAAAACCTTTTAAACATCGTTGTTCATAGAAATCAAAGAAAACGTGGGACAACTTGTCTGCGTGCAGTGAATTGAAATATATGAAGTGAGTTTTAACAGGAAGGGAAACTGTAGTTCAATTTAGGAAGACAAAAAGAAAAACCTTAAAGTAGCTGAAAAATAACTATTCCTTGTTTTATGTCCAGCATTAATCATAAACTGGCTCGCTTTTTAAAGATTATGTTTGACATAATAATTGCCATTCGGAATTCATTGGCTTTTTAAAGGAGCTCCGTCACGGTGTTTCGTCTCTTTTTTTGGCCGCGTACAAAATCTCCTTTAAATGGAAGGAAACCTGAAAATAATAGTTTACTAAGATAGAAAAACATCAAAGAGATAATAATAAACCATAAAGGAACAAGGATGGTCAAGGATGGCGAAGATTAACACGGATTGTAAACGACGAATTTGAAAAATTTAGGCTAAACTTTTCAAAATGTGCAAACCGTGACTGAGCTCCTTTAACTGAGGTGAAAAAAAAGTTTCATTCAAAAGAGTAAGTAAAGCGATATTCATGTTAAATTTATTTCATATTCGCTGCAGCTTAAGCCAACCATGACGGCAAGAAACGAGAACGTCACCAGACAAAAGTTTTGAAATGAGCAGAACGACATGGCTGTGCAGTTCATTGTAAATCTTTGCATATTTCTTAGCCCTCCTCTTTAAACAGCATCGTGAAATGGCCAAGTTCTGTGTATTTTGGAGAACGCAAACGACAGCGGCTAATTTTTGTATTTGCCTTTGGAAACAAAACCTATCATATATATTACATATTTAGTTTAAGAAAGTTTTGAGACCCATAGGGGAAACGGAATCAGATGACTGAGAAATTCGAATTACGATTAGGATTACAAAAGTAAGAGCTGTCTCTCTTCTCGCATAACGTGTCAATTTTCTGGTATACTGACATACAATTTTACCTTTGGAATATTTTCCCTGACGCAGTGAACGGCCTGGAATGTTACCATTGTGAAAATTCAACTTCTTGGAAAAGCTGTGACGAGAACCTTAAAGAAGTCACCGGGAAAGTTTCAAGAGATGCTTCAAAGCGAACATAACGACCCAAAACGTCTTAAAAAATATTTCCAGCTCAGTCTTTGCAAGGGGCTGCGCCGACAGATGCGATGCCAGCGGGATTCTCCATTGTGACGAACATGTCATCTGTGACGCGTATTGTTGCTCCGCTGACCTCTGCAACATGAGCCCGAAGATAGCGAACAGCAAAATGATGATGTTAATCTCCATGGCAACGCTTCTTCCAGCAGTTTTCTTCTGTACATAAAATAAAGCTGACAATCTGAGCCTTACGGGTAATGATTTTCTATGATAATGCAGGTATCAGTTTCCAAAACAGCCAATAATAGAATGCAACCAAGTGCAGTGCTCTAGGTCTTTGTAGTGCATGCCGTGCAATGCCATGCAATGCAGTGCGATGCAATGCAGTGCATTGCAATGTAGTGAAGAGTAATAGAGTGTCTGTTTTGGATGGCTTTTAAAATCGGTATTAATTTGAAGTGGTTTCTTGGAAATTCAAAACCAAAGAAACTATGATCAATCTGATCACTTCTGGTAAAAGAATAAGACCGTGCTATTGCATTAAATTAGCTCTTGGTACAAAATAGCTCCAAAAAAATTACCCACCAATCTGCTTTTACCGTTGGGTACTATTACAGACTGTATACTTGTCATGTCGCGTGTGCGACCCGCTTGTCTATCTAAACTTGTATACATGGAGGATATTTTCTTATTACGAACAGCACGGGAAAGCAGCAAAGGAACTCCCAGAGTGCATTTCGCTTCCACAGAGGGATAAATCGTGCGCGATATAAGCGCGATGGACATAAGCGAGACGAAATAAGAGAGAAATCACTATCCAAAGGCACGCAGCACGCCCACTTAAAGTGATGAACTCACATAATACGCCATCGCTTAAAAAGTGCACGAAAAAAGAGGCCACGAGAAACCTAGAGTCACGCGCATTTTTCTTGCGCTTTCTTTTTTTCGTGTCACGCTATACGGGCTATAAGCAAAAGAGCGACTGTTCGTTGTCCAAACACGCGGCAACTGTTATTACAATTCTCTACTAGCCTGCGTAGCAAGCGTTTCTGTGGGGTTCGGGAACAACGAATTACTGCGCGAAAAATGGAGCGAGTAAAAGAGGGGGAAGGGGGAGGGGGAGGAAGGAAGGTATTACAATTTACGTCAAGCCGGTTATTATAATCCCTGTATAATTCACGAAATGACGTGGCATGACGTTATCAAACTGGATTGAAGAAAGCACGCTATCACAGATCAAAGATCGGAATGCGTACACAATCTTGGTAACAACATGATTGATCGTACTATTTTTAGATCGTCTTCTTGAAACTCTAAGTAATCGTGCAGTGTGCAATTATCTCAACAGCATTAGAAATACAGTATGCTTATACTCGTCGCTGCTATGGAGTCATTGTGTGTCAGCGTCATAATGATCTGATTAAAGCCAACAAAGCGTCAGGATGAAATTTTAGCTCATTTATGTTCTTGCCTGACTAACAAGGTTGGCGGCTAAATTAACACGCGTTTGAGTTAATCATGAACAGACGAACAATCTAACTAACTTCAATATGTAAATAACCTGCGGGTTTGGAACTTGACCTTGTTTTTTATACAGAGCGGAAAAAACCAGAGACAGAGGGGTGGACTACACGAGGAGAGCAGAGCGATCAGGGGTGTGCATCATTACCACAAGCTTTTATGTTGACCAATCAGATAACAGCTTTTCTGACAAGTATTGTTACCTTCCTTCCGAAATAGATCAATTTCGACATTTTTAAGGTGTGCCATCACATTTAGCATTGAAAGCTCAGTTGAGTTCTTCAGTTTGCGTCTTATCGTCCTAGTCAGCACTACCGTACGGTGGGTTCGCAGAGTCACAACCACTAGGCGACTAGCAAAGCGGAAAAAACGAAGAAACATGTCGAATTACAGAGTTTGGTGATTGTTGTGTTTCTAATGTTCTCGCCACTTGGTAAGTGAACTTACGTGGTACATTTCTTATTTGCTAAATGCGTAATACCTAAAGACATGTTTAATTCGTGCAAGTCGGATGTCAAGTCGCTCGGTGGTCTTGCATCATCACCAGGCAAGACCTCGTGGCACTTTTAGTTTCAGTTAGAGTGTCCTTAGCTTCGTTCTCAATTCAAGAACTTTGAAGAGACTGTTCACTATTTTAGTTTGCAAAATTTTCTAGTTTTCTCGCGAAACAAACATGCAGTGGAACCAACATTCACTCAGATTTTCCTAATGACTGACATGTAGGCTTTATTTCCATAATGTACTTCAGCACCACGGCTATAAGGAAAGAAACAGTTTTAAATTAACTGGATGTCTTGTTAGACCACTTTTAGTAGGTCATCCCGATCGAAGTGCCGCATGTACGTGAGGGCATTAAATACCACGTCGGAAATAAACCAATGCTGAATTGCAAGTTTGAGTCTTAAGAATCATTCTGAAAATTTAATTGTGAAGGCAAAGCATTCTCCAGCAAAACTAGACAAGAAGTTGAAACGTTATTTAATTTGTTTGAAACCGATTATTTCAGATAAACAACCTACGTTGAATGAGCTGAAGCCAGCTTGAAGTATTCGATTAACAGTAAAGCAAGTAACTCGGCGATGCGGTTTCAATGCAAGTATTTTAACTATAAGTTAGCGCAACTCCAAGTCCATCTTCCTTATATAGTTATTAATTTACTTTCGCTGTAACCGGGTTTTCTGCCGTGCAGTTGCCTGACGATTGCTTCGGAAGAACTATGAAACTCTGAGTAACAAGTAAATGTCTTCGATTGACCAACTAATCGAGCTCTTTACCTCTACTTTTATAAATTACTCTAGTCTAACTATTGAGCACCCTAATAGCCGATGAGGATTTCAACCTGCTGATGAGTTATTTTATACAATACTTAAAAGTTTTTACGGAAGCATAAGAGCCAGTCTTGCCCTTGGTAGTTTTTATGACACATACCACGAGGTCTAAATTTTCCGGTTTCGAAAACACATTGCGTGCGGAAATATTTCTCTTGAATTTTACAAGTGCAGACAATCTTGATGGCTATTTTCCGGATTGTTTGCGAACACAAATTCAGGATTTCACCCGTTGTTTTAACAGTTATTAGAAAAAAAATTGAAACAGTGTTTTTTCGTTTGTTTTGTTTAGTTGGTTACTGATATCCCTTCGGTAATTAATCAGTGCTCCTGATGATAGCAGAGCCTGATAGATGTTCCCTTCTGGATTGGATGAGTGACTGAGGGAAAGGAGGAAGGGTGCGGAGGAAAGGGAGTGAAATATACTGATCCTCGACGACTGGTTTAGCAGGGTTTATTGGCGGTGAGGTGCACAACTCTTAGTGTTGAATGGAAGCCGGCCTCATTTCCCCTCTCCCTTCTTCAAGCACAGAACCTGCCAGCAAGCTAAATATGAATTCAACTTTTCAACAATACTTCTTAGCTTCCTTCCGCCCTCGGAAGCAAAAATTGAACAACAGAAACGAAAGCATTGGAACTATAGAAAGTGTTTCGACAGGCTTTGATAAGAATACGAGTAATGTGTTGAAATGGTAGCCACACGTTTATAATTTTACCTCGCTTCTCCTTCAATCTTGCAGTGTTTTCCCGTGAATGTTATCAGTGCCTTAGCACCCACTCTTGGAAAGACTGCGATGACAAGCGATACAAGGTCAGGTGCCTAGATTCGCAGAGGTGCATTAAAGCCAGCGGCCACAGTTCCATTGATGAAGCTTATGTGAAAGGCTGCGCGGCTACCTGCTCAGCATCTGACATTCCTGTCTGCAATGAACCCGGTGTCAAGTGTAACGTGGACTGTTGCTCCTCAGACTACTGCAACGGTGCCCCCGGTCATACGTTCAGCGGTCTTCTCTTGATGGCTTGCGTTCCGATTGCCACTGGAGTTATCTACTTGTTCGGTTATGAGGTTGCTTTTAAGTAATTTTGGATTTTAATCCAGTGCCTTTTAGTAGAATGCAGTTATTAGACGCGGAACAATCAAGTTAGGATGTTGAATTATTATTTAGGAGTAAGAACTGTAAAGTAAATTACTCAGACCCGTCGTTTCATGAGCGATAATTTGAGCTTGTCGATACGTATAACGTGACTGAGCAAAGGTTCATGTAATATTAAATAAAATTCAATAGTTGTTGCTTAATTTCATTGACTTATTTGTCGTCTGTTGCTTGCATTGTACAGTCGAACCTCGATTATCCGTACCTCGATTATCCGGACTTTTTCTCTAGTCCCAATTTTGTCATGAANTACCCTTGTAATAAGTGGCAAGCAGAGAAGCAGGCAACAATTACGGCAAACATTAACTTCCTAGAAACAACATCACGTATAGTTCATTCATGATTGACGCATATTTATGCAGCTAAAGTCGAACCTCGATTATCCATACCTCGATTATCCGGACTTTTTCTCTAGTCCCAATTTTGTCATGAATATTTATTAGTCATGATCAAGATCCGTAGCAATATTCTTTTTAAAACTATACCATTGAAAAGTGCAGTCAAAAGCGAGTTTGTTTTGCTTTAGAGAGCAAAAGCAGCGCTTGCACGCCAACTAATGAGAAACACTCGCGAATGAGTTCTGATTCGCTCAGAGTTGAGTGGTTTAAGATGTACAGTAGACCATATTGTTTTCCAAACGATTTGTAAAAGCGTTGTTTCACGATTAAATGCTGTTTATTTCAACAGTTTTGTTCTTCATTAATATTCGTATTTTCGATTGTCCGGACACTCGATTATCGCACTATTTCGTCTAGTTCCAACGAGTCTGGATAATCGAGGTTCGACTGTAACGTTAAAAATCCAGTACTGTGAAACGACTTAGACAACTTAGAATCGCTAAACAGTTAGGCAGTCTGGACTGATTCCAACTACATATTCTGTTTTGTAAATAAGATCCTAAAATGCCAAACAAAAATTTATAAGAATAAACTTACCTATAAACCTGTGGACCTTAATTTTTTACATGCCTCTCCAGTGTCTATGCTTGACATATTCTCGGTTACAGAGTTTTTATTTTTATAACTTTTTTTTTGCAAAGAGGAAAATTCTTTCTTACCCATATTGAGGTTGCCTATTTACCGAGTTAGGATTTCGAGTTAGATTTCGAGTTGGATTTTCGAGTTAGGATTTCGAGTTGGATTTCGAGTTGGATTTTCGAGTTGGATTTTCGAGTTAGGATTTCGAGTAGGATTTTCGAGTTGGATTTCGTGTTGGATTTTGGAGTAAGGATGTAAAGTCGGTCTTTTCGAGATGGTTACTAGTAATCCGGCTGCAACGAATCGGCTAGTTTGTCTGTAAACCGTCTCGTAGATTTCCAGTCCAATGCAGTAAACAATAGAACTCATGTAGGCATGGGGTTAGTGTTTTGCCTTTTTATTCTGCGACATTACTATTTATAATATACAAAGGACCCTGCGCGCGTTCTGATTGGTCAAAAACCCATGTTTCATCACAGTTTAGAAAACATTCCTAAGAAAATACGCGCGCTGATTGGTCAAAAAATCGTGTTTCTATTAAACAATTAGATTATGAGCTCGAGATTTCTGCTGCGTGATAGTTGACGAGGGCGCAGCCCGAGTCAACTATCAGGCATAGAAATCGAGAGCGAGTAATCTAATTGTTTTACTATAAATCTACTAGTCGTTCAAAACTTTTTCTAAATCCTCTTCACAGACACGACAAGAAGCGGTCGTCATTTTGTTAACAAGAGCACGCTGCTACGCCACTCACTATCTATCACAGAATAGATATTGAGTAGCAAAGCCAATCAGAGAGCGGAATTCCTGATAGAACGCTAGTAGATTTATACTAAAACTCGATAGAAACACGGTACATGTTTTCTTATTTCTTAAATAAGACAAAGAAAAAGCGTGTTTTATTGTTTTTTGCCTATAATATAAAACAAATGAAGAAGCCTAAGCCGTGTATTGCACGGTGTTAAAACTGACCTTTGAGAACATTCCAGAAATGTAGAAAACACTCGCCTGCGGCTGGTGTTTTCTACATTTCCCCCGTGTTCTCAAATGCCCGTAGTGTTTTATCAGTGTAATAAACGGCTTAGGCTTCTTTATTTGTTAAATAAAACATACTTGAAGCAAGAGGCAAGACATTGAGTCTTACATGAAGTCATTTCCCTAAGTCACTACCATGATCCGAGCGTAAATCGAAGGTAAAATCTAGAATATGATTTTTCTTGTCATATCTATTCTGGTGGTGCAAATTTAGAAATCCGCGTTAAGAATTAGACAAAAGGCAAATATATGAATCCTATAATTCCACCACATTTTGAAGACCAACAAATGGCTCCAATGCTGCATTAAAATGAACTTTGAAGTGTCAACTATTGTTTGCACTCCAAAATACAGCTACGAATGTAATACTAGGATAGATTAAACAAGATTGCCCGTACCGATCTGCCATCCTCGTTCTCCTCCATCTTGAAAAGACCTCAAGACGTTGACAAAGTACGTTGTGTAAAACCACTGAAAATTTATTGGAAACCCCGCCCAAAAAAAAAAATCCCGCCAAAAAAATCCTAACTCGAAAATCCAACTCGAAAATCCAACTCGAAAATCGCAACTCGAAATCCTAACTCGGTAAATAGGCAACCTCTGTTTTTCTACCGTCTGAATTGAAAGTACACTGGCTGCCTGCAGTGAACTAAGAGATGAAGCCATTCGCCGAAACCGCTTGTTATGAAATGCGAATTACGATAATTCTAACTTGAGAAAATGACTAAATATTTAAATTCAGGAGCAGGAAAACTTAACGTACCTCTCTAGTACTTCAGAAAACCATTGAGTCAGTAGCCCACGGTGCGTAATAACAGCTACCGTGTCACTCACAAAACTCACTGAGTATTCTTTTAAAAACATAAAGGAAATATAATTTGAATTTGCACTGATTTAAATGTCTTACATTCAAGATTTACTCGGTTGCTAGGTAAGGTCGAATTTCATTTTCATTTACAACATGGTAAAAGCAATAAATTTATTCACCTGCTGAATTTATTTATGACTAATTGATGGCTCAAAAGATCCTTGTGGAGCTCCGACTGAAGTATTTTTAAGTTAAGCCTACAGCTCTTCGGAGGTAGGGAAGGAGGTTGTGAATTCGTCTGCATTAATTGAAATTCAGTAGTAAGTTGTAAGTTGTAGGATCCTAAAAGGAAAGTACTTTATTGATACCAGTAACGAGAAAGTACACTTTACGAGAATGACATGGAAGATGTGGACAAATTCCACGAGCCTTCCAAACCACTGATAACTTGCTACAGTAGCCTGCTAAAGATGAAAAGAAGAACTCTGAATGCCCTCTAAGAAGTGCTCCGGAATCTAGCAGTACAGACCGCGCGCTAGGATAGACCGCAGTCTGATTAGTTTCGACGAATTGCTTTTCCAAAAGATTGCACAAAAGAAAACAGTTCGGCGTATAATTTGAGTTTAATTTTCACGTTCACGGCTCTGTCCTGCTATCTCTATGACGATTATTGATCAGTCACATCCTCAACCAACTGAGTGAATCTCGATCGACTGAACCTTATCGTAATGGTCGTTTCGCGCAAAAGAGAACTAAATATCAACATGTGAAACGCTAAGATAACACTTGTATTTTGTTACCTGTCTGACAGCAAAGTCAAACCTCAGTTACACATAAAACCCTTCTAATATTATGCAGCTTTCATTGGAAACCATCCAGGCCGCTTCAACTTAATAGACTTCGATCGACGACCACGGCATTACAGAAGATTAAAGATTATGCAAACTGGGAAATTATACTGCAGGGAAAGCAGGTCATTTACAGACTTAAGTTATTTGTTACCAAAAAAACTACCAATGGAGCTTTCAATGCAGCCATAACCAAAAGCACAAGATGAGTCACAGGGAAAGTTCCAAGCCAGTACTTGCCATAAGGATGAAAACCACTTCACAGCGTCAGAAAAAGAATTGCGGTGCGACTATTAAAAAAAATCACCCTGTGATGGGCTAGATAAATAATAGCACAATCATGTTTCTACAAAAACGTTTGTCTACGGTAGGTTCAAAACAGCCTACTTTTACAAATAATAAATAATGAAATTTGCCGCATTCATTTACTGTTAATATTTGTTTGCTGTTTGCTGTTTTCTTCTTTTAAATCTTTCTCTAAACCCACCTTAAAGAGTATTTAAAAGAACATAGCTTAACCTTAAATGGTACCAAAAGATGAGAGAATAATGTATATGTGACGGCGACAAGGTTAAAAAGTTTTCACTAAAAGATTGTCATCAAGGAAAATAGAATTTAACAATTTAGACACAAACACGACAAACATGCAAGTTTGAATTGCATGATGTTCTCATTTTCTTTCTTTACAGCGTCGTATCTTGACAGGAACTTATCGCCTCTTTTTGTGTGGCAGCCGCCTCGAATCCCAAATTATTTAATGAGTGATTCTGAGTGTCGACAGTTTCAATCTCGTTCTCGCTGTTTGATGAACGAGTCGTGTTATTAGTACAAGGGCCCGAACCGGGGCAGCATGAAACCTTGACATCTCCCTTGTAAAGATATTCCACCATCGCATCCACAACGCCTGACATGAAACACAAACCAGGGATAATGAGACCATTAGGTTGACCCCCTGCAATCATCCTTTTGGGAACGAAGTCTCCAAAGCCCACCGTGGTCAAGGTGATAAACCACGCATAAATGCCTTGCCGAATGTTCCATGAGTCCTCTTGCAAAGACCCTGCAGCTGAGGAGAGGATAATAATGGCTAAGAGAAGAAAATTGAGCAAGAGAACCTTGAGCTCTAAGTTCCTTATATCAGTTGGCATTCCTCGGCGGTTACAGTTTTCAATCCTCCTGATGAGGCATTTGATCATGTTGTTGTACCCTCCACCGATGGACTTTAGGGTGAGAACTGTTAAGGGTATTCCAAATAGAGCATAGACAATGGTGACTATTTGACCAGTTGCGGTTCGCGGTGTGATATTGCCATATCCTGTGTAAC